AAGTAAAATATTTGTACATTCATAGTTTACAAAGAGATGCATAAATCCAGTTTTGCTTCCCTAATAATCTGTTCATTAACATTAATTAAAGTGTGTGTCTGTCCATGGAGTTATAAAATAATTATAACTCCATGGCCTGATTAACCCAATTTTTTAAATTCACGTATTACTATCATTTCAATTCTATTTCTTTAATGTTACAAATGCCATCAATGGGCCAATATCCGCACAACAAAAAAAGACATGACAAAAGGAGACAAATTGAAAACACTCTCAACAAAGGATATTAATAATTATGCATTATAGGGTAGGGACGTCACTCCGCTAAGGTCTTAATGAGCCGCATAAGCCAACCTAATCAAACTATGCATCCCGGGGTAGGGACGTTACCCCACTATAAGGTACTAGTGACCACCCGCATACCACCCCACCAAATATTGACCAAAAGGTCTTTACATTTTAAGGACGTCTCTGATAGTATATTCTTAGAATAAGAAAGATCGAAATGAACAGAAGACGCGAGCGAATTCGAGTGAGGTAGAGTCGAATGCAAGAACCGAGTAGTGTGTCCACGGAAGAGAAGAAAGTCAGAGTAACGGTTGTGGCGAAGAGTCATTTACATAGAACGGGCGGGTGGGAGAAAAAAAAATGAAGAGGGTGGCCAGGAGATCAAATCATAACAGAGGGCTTTAAGCAGGAAGTATTGTTGTCGTTGAATGAAAGGAATAATTTAAAAATAAGAAAAGACAGTTGGATAAGTATGTAGCGTGATCAGAGAGAAGTGGAGCAACATAAAGTTCAAGACGTTTAATTTGAGCGATTTCACATTTAGGAAGGAGACCATATATACAACAACAGCACTCAGTAGCAGGTTTATGTATAATTTATATATAAAAGCCATAGTAACGGAATCCAGATTTGTAGATGGAAGAAATTTGTGAGTTCCCTTTCAGGTTATCTGCGATTAAAATGCCATGGTATTTCAAACTGTGAACTTCTTCAACAATTGTGCCATGGAGACAAAGTGAGTGAAATTAGCTGGATTTCTACGAACGTCTATAGGCCTATTCATAATTCTGCATAGGGGCGAAGGACAAACCATTGCTGTGAGACCAAGGTTCCAGGAGTGAGGCAATATGTGGTACCGGTAATTGGTCCAAAGATACGTCCTTAGAAGCATAACATAACGATTTCATCGGCATAAAGGGAAAATGGGCAACCAAAGTTGCTGGCAATATCATTGATAAAACATAAAATAAAGAATAAATCCAAATTTAGTGTCTTGAATGACACTACTTTTAATAGGTAATATGCTTGAAATGATGCCAATTAATGAAGTGCATTGAGATCTATCATAGAGCCAATTGGCAATCCAAGAAACAAGAGTGTGGCGAATACGAAAATAATTATTAGACAACTTAAATAAAAACAATTCTTGAGGAACAGAATCAAAAGCACGCCAGATATCAAGAAACTTATTTGTAATTTTCCAAAACACTTCAATATCCCGTTTATTCTGCTTTCTTTGCTTACTTAGATGGAATAGACAATAATTGGATTTGCGTCAGGAGAATCAAGTATAGGTGTAATTTTGCCCTACCTGACGTGGAAATGTACTGAATATTCAGTACGTGTGAAAACTGCGAAAAAAAAATCGCAATTTGTACTCGGGTGGAATTCGAACGCACGATCTCCAGATATTTAGCCTGGCATCATACCTCTCAGTAGACCACCGAGAATGCACCTGATGGTCAGGGTTGAATTCGAGTCCAAGTAAGCAGCGGGTACTACGATGTTAATAGTAATTTCAAAGTTGTTCCTGAGAACAACTTGCGATTTTTTCAGTGTTGTTTTCACACATACAGACACATGCACACAGAGTATTCAGGTAGGGGAAAATTACACCTATAATTATTGTTATAGTTATTAATAATATTAATAATGATGATAATGATTTTAATAATAATACTATTATTAAAGTCACTCTGACCATGTTATAGTTAAGTTCTGCGAATGTATTCAAAATTGCCTCCAAAAACGGAGGGTATGAAAGAGCAAAACAAAATATTAAAGCACATTAGAATACATAAAATCATGTGCTAAGGAATGAGTAATTGATAGTAGCAATAATAATTATTTAATATAATCACTATATATACTGTCTCTTATACACATCTAGATGTGTATAAGAGACAGGTATTGCTCCGTGTAAAATGGGCTTAAGAGAGGACAAGAATTTTGATTGGTGAATAAATGGAATGTCGTTCGGTTGAACTAGGTAAATTAGAACCAAATGCTCTCTGTAACATATACATTATTTATGACAGATATGAACTTTGAAAAGCATAGTTCATTAAAAGAGTTGCCTACATTTTATAGGAATATGCTTTATGTATGTGTCAAATACAATAATATACATGCTTCGCACCCACAATGTATCTGTGAAGTAAAAAAGCAAAGGCTTTGGGAAAATAAATTTATTTAGTTTAACGGAAAACCTCTTTTTTTTTTGTAAAACATGGGTAGAATCAAATTTTAAAACCATAAATGATATAATTGTAAATAACCGACTAATAAAGATTGATGAGATAATTCCAAAATTGTCAAAAACGCCAAACACACTAATAGAATATGTGGCATTAATTAATGCAATTCCCAAAATATGGAAAGAAATTATTTTAACCAATTTTTTTGTGTATTACATGGTAAAAAAGAATGTCAATCCAACGACACTATTATTAAAAAAAAAAAAAAAAAGTTAAAGATTTTTACTTGTCATTCATTAATGACAAATATATTGTACCAAAAGCTCAAAGTAAATGGGAAACTACTTTACAAATCAACACAATCGACTGGCCACTGTGTTGGAAAAACAAAGTGAATTCAATGATGCATATGAAAAAAATTGCTCATTTCAACTATAAATTAATACACAGAATCTTACCTACACGATCTAGACTTAAACTGTGGAATATATCGAACAACAATCTTTGTGAGTTTTTCAATATACAGGAGGATGAAGAACATATGTTATTCAAATGTAAGGATATAGAATTATGTTGGGTAAAACTTTATCGTATGTTAAAAATATGCAATTTTGATATATATGAAAAAATAGAATGGAATAAAATTGTCCAAGGATGCTATGCTGAACGAACAAATGAAATTCTATCTATTTTTACATTCTGTATCTATAAAAGTAAAGTTAAGTACAGACTCGGACTTGGGAAACAATGTCCTTGGTTTATGTTTTTATTGTTATGAAAGAGTTTATTAAGCTGTGATTTCTTAATTAACAATGAAAAAGCAAAAAAGAAATGGTCCATGATTGACCTTAACAAAATAAAAAAATATTATATTGGTTAAACTTGGTGAAAACAATTTCACCATATTATAGTCTGAAGGGAAACTATTTCGAAAAATAATGTAGCCTATAAATATTATATATAGTGTTTATAAATATAAAGAAAAAACTTTAAAAAAATAGGCTTAAACAAAGGCTTGACCTTTTACTATATCCTTTATTAAAATGACAGAAAACAAATAGAAAAAATGGCAGGGTAATTGTACACCTTGACCGATGTGCATAAATTTCAAGTGAAAGTATAAAAAAAAATGTTAAAGATATTTTAAAAAGCTATATTGAACAACTCTTTACAAATTATACTGTGTATGCTGAACTTATGAATAAAAGTGGGATGATCCCACAAAATCTCCTTTCCCAACTTTAGAAACCTTCCAAATTCCATTACGATTAATTATTCACTTGTACAGCATGTGCTGACAAAAGTATTTCGCAGCAGCTGGTCACACAAGTTTGTTTTCCTAGAATCAAATTCCTGGAGGAGTCCCCACCCCCACCCATAGTTATCATCTCGTCTTGAGAATAGACAATTAACAGCCTAACGACTGCGCACGCACATACAGCACACGTACAGGTAAATAATGGACGAACACGTTTATAAATTCAAGTAAATAGTTTAATGAGATAAAATATTGAATATTAGGTCCACATCAATAACAACATACAAATGAAAAGCCATGCATACGACCTAACGTTGGTTCAAAATTAAATAGGCACAATACATCAGCTTTTACTTCAGCTGCTTGAAACATTTGGAGTTTCTTGAAAGTCTTAGGTTTTTTGGAATTTAAACTGCACTTCTTTGACCATCTATAAATTAACAAAATGCATCATTTCTAAAATAGTTACTTAAAGACACTTCATTTCAAGCATTCTAAAATATCATTAACTTTTAAACTTCTACAATAATAAAATGTTAATCGTTTCAAACCTCTATTATGCACAATTGTAGACCTACACATAATTATTGCTATACAGTAGTTTGACATTTAAATTTTACTTTAATGTTCATTCAACTACACATAACAATGAACCGCTGTTTCCTATTAATGATATTGCCTTGTTTTATTCAAAATGTTTCAATTATTGCTGTTCTCTAATTAAAGGTGATTGAATGAGGACCAGGATCAGTGAATTTGAGGTGTACAAATTACAACCCCCGACTGTAATGGACCTCCAAATTGGACAATAGTGGGATGTATTAGGTGTACTGTTAAATGCCACACCTCTGTATGTAGTGTGGCATTCTTATGCTGTATATGCTGTCTTATGTTATACATAAGGAACCAATAAAGGATAATTTGTACCCAGCTTTTAGATTGCACATACACATATGCTTTGGATCATACACTTATAAAATAAAATTAAAATCTGAAAATTAACTAACAATAGACATGTTGTACAAGATTGTAGAAAATGCTAGTCAGCCTGTAATACATACAGAATGAAAATACAGATAGTAATTTATTGACTGACTCAAATTATTTTACAAAAGCTTTCACTATCAGTCTATGCATTAGGTGTTGTGAAATTATAGTATAAGAACACTCTTTTCAAGTAAGCCACTTGAGAAAAATCAAGTGTTCCCTGAAAACTAACTACATAGTGTAAATGGAAAATATAGTATGAGCATTGGTACACGGTATGCAGTGACAATATCACACACCGTACATATATTTGCTCCTTCGACAAGGTGAACTTTTCTGGCAGCAGTGGTGTCCCTGCATCTTTTTCCAGATATACATCAGCCAGTTTTCTGTTGTCACTATCACCCTAGTTTGAAAAAAAAAATGACACAGCAAATACTACAATTGCATTTTTAAATTTGCAACTAAACATAGTACTCAAAATGCAAATTAAAAGTTATATCATGAAAATTTCAGAGACTGTTATCATTTGATATCCTATGAGTATAATTACACATAGTGTGGCTCAAATTTTGGGACTAGTAGTGACATGAATGGGCTCCCTATGGTAGTGCACTAGACAGTTTGTATGACTCACATCACTTCTGGGATCAGTGGTGGGTGAATGGGCTACCGATGGCAGCGCACCAACAATTTCGAACCTGTGGTGGCTGAGGGGGCTATTTATGACAGGGCACCAGTAATATTTTTGTGACATGCTAACAATGACCTAAGAATTTAAGGTGTGGAAAAGAACATTTAGAAAAAAATAATTGCACAAACTGCCAGGATATATCAACAAGTCCATTGGTTGTGGGATCAGTGGACGCAGCAGGTCTTAACCATGAGGTATGGTAGTTAAAATTAGTATTTTTGTTATTTATTTAGGCACAAGGGCCATGGATTGCCAATTAGTGAATACATCATTCTTTTACAGTGGCAACCCCTTTTAAACTTAGACTCCGGAAGAAAAAATAATTGTTGATGTGTTGTATATCTGATTTTAAAAACTGGGGGAAAAAGGGGGTTAAAAAAGGGGTTAAAAAAAAAGGCGGTTATCCCCCTTTCTCCCCAGTAAAATATTCAAAAATCTGTATTTCATTCCCCGTTTTAGGTCAAACAACTTTTTTCTGTCTTAGAAAAATCAGTTCTACAACATATCAAAAATTCTTTTTCCTCCGAAGCCTGACTTTAAAAGACAAACATAAACACAAGGTGCTAGGGAAGTGGATGGTAATGAGAAAAAATGTTTGCTCTGGACCATTTATATTTTGGCACAGAGATTCGGATGTGAAATGTTCAGGGAATTAAACATTTTTCAATTTACATCATTAATAATTTTTCAATCATAAATTACCTTGTACATGAAAACTTTATTATCTTCTTTTTAACATATAGGTGGAATCGGCCAAATAGCAGCCTTTGCTTCAGTATCTGCAATTTTACAATTAAGCAATACAAACTTGTGAATACGTTATTTATTATAATGTATTTGATGCATTATGATAGGACATAGTTAACTAATTAACTACGTTCTGCAAATTAAAATTTAGATGAAATCAACATGGATCCATTTTGATTGATTCCTTCTTGAAATGGATCAGGAGAACTACAGATTTTGCCCTGAAAATGAGTTGAGACTACAAATGCCATCAAAAAGCAGCTACGTCTGAAAATATTAGAGCAAAGTCCAATGGACCCCTGATACCTGACAGGCAAGGTCGTTAACCTCCCCACCTCTCCCCTCCCCCCCAACAACACTCATGTTAAAAAAATTGTCTATACTCTTGGACTGTACATTCGAATGCTGATCACTTCGGCCCAATTCCAACGGCCCAAACCAATTCGGCCCAAACCAACTCGGACCAAAACTAACTCGGCCCAGACGACACTTCGCCCTCAAACCAACGCTGCCCCAAATAAAATCGGAACAAAATCAACTTGGCCCAGGAAACAAATGGCCCAGGAAAAAATATGGCCCTAAATAAATAAATAGTTCTACCCGAGGGCAGAATTCATTTGATTTGAAAATTACACAATTGTATTCGAATAATGCCAAACATAACATTCTGTTAAATCCATTAAAATATTCCTTTTCTTTTATAATTTTCGAAATATTTTTTAGTTTAACAATCTCAAAAAAAATATTTAATCATGAATGCAAACTTTAATAGTTTCATTACTTTTTAGCACACGTCTGGCACAATGACTGTACATAAATATACGACATTGATTTATTGAAGACGGTAGGTTAAAATAGTTAGGTGGTCCCTGTGTTGTGAAATGAATAGTTGACTTTTATTGTCAGTTTTTGTAAGGTACTACGTTCATCGAAAACATATTGGGTGTTGCCAATCTGAAATAAAATAAAAATAAATAATAAGAATAGTTATACTAAAAAAATAATATCAGACCTATAAATAATATTAATAATTATAATTCTGTTGCATGGCTTTCCTCATGTTTCTACAGCAGTTGTTATTTAATTGTAAAAATCATTAAAGTACAATGCAAGTCTATATATAGAACTTGGTTGGAAATTGTAACATATGATTTTAATGTAACTACTTGAGGAGAACGAACAAGGCGGATCACCAAGGAACAGGCTTATTTTACCTTTACAAATTTACTTTTCCTGTGATCTATTTTGTCCTTCCTGTTAACACGTTTTATAAATTGTATCCTAATTCAATCAAGTAAAGAAGAATAATAACTTCTACCAAGTTAAACAAGGTTTAACAAATTGATGCCAAATTGAGATTTTTTTTTCGCAGTTGTTTTCACACTTACTGAATATTCAGTATATTTTTATGTCAGGTAGGGGAAAATTACACCTATAATTATTGTTATAGTTATTAATAATATTAATAATGATAATGATTTTAATAATAATAATATTATTAAAGTCACTCTGACCATATGTCTTAGTTAATTAGATTTTAATTGGGCTTTTTTGACTTAAGTTCTGCGAACTTATATTAAACTCCATGCACACATGCATCATCATCTAATGTAATTAATGTAATTTAATGTAATTTAAGCATTTTCTTTAGTTAATAAAATTATAGCCTAATCATTAGGCAATAGTTTATATTAAATTTTAAACATGTTTTCTTAATATGTTGCACTCTTATACTCTAATCATTTATAAGAAAGTATAATACATACTCCAAGTATTGAAATACACGCCATCGTGTTGGGATTCAATATTTCGACATTAATTATGTCACCATCAGGAATGATGATTAATTATTGTCGAAATATTGAATCCCAACACGATGGTGTGTATTTCAATATTTGGAGTATGTATTATACTTTCTTATCTGAGATTAATCAGTGGACTTTTCGGTTTTTGGAAAACTAATCCTTTATATTATCATGTATTATCACATCAGATGGTGTAATGCATACTCCAGGTGCCGGGGCAGGCACGATCGTGTGGGGATTCAGTGTTTCGGAGCTGCTTGTGTCGTCATCAGGAATTGATTGGTGTTGGGATGTTGGGTCCCTGGGTCCCTCTATGGTGGCGTGCGTTTTGATGCTTGGAATTTTTATTATGCTATCTTATCTGAGATTAATCAGTGGAACTTTTGGTTTTATTATATTATCTTGTAATATTGTTTGCATATACCTTATACTGTTTTGCCTAATTTTGTACTTTTGTATAATGATTAATTAGATTTATTGATTGTTATGTATATGCATGTGTGGAAAAATCTAATAAACAAACAAACAAGGGAAAGTAATCGAGTACAAAGTTTGGCGTCACTGTATTTAAATAGCAGATGAAAAATATAATTCAGAGAATCAGATGTAGATCGTTGAAAACGAAAACCAAACTGAAAGTTAGAAAGATTAGACTGCACAACAGTATTCAGTCGATTACATATGACACCTTCAAGGAGTTTGCATAAAGGAGAAGTGACAGACACATGGTGATATTTATGAAAATTAATTTTATCAGATGAATTATGAACTGGATGCACAGGCTTCCTTCCAATCTGCAGGAATACAACAATGGTTAACAGAAAGAGTAAAAAATTTAGCCTGGAAAGGAGCACACGAATAAACAAACAGCTTAATAACAAAGTTACGAAGATGTCATGACCTGGAGATTTAGAGTTACTAAGATTTTTAGATGCAGAGATAACGTCAGATGGGGTGATATTTAGAAAGTCATGCAAAAGGTGGCACATGAATACGGATAGAAAAAGGAGAGTCAGATGAATATTTATTAGCAAATATCAAATCAATCTGCTAGGAAATATTAACACGAGGTGAATTAATGGGTGTACCGTTGTGGAATTTGAAAGTTCGAGAATAGGACTTACTGTATTGCTGGTTGGTAAGATGTTTTGTATTTTTGACCGCCAGTTACATCGCACGTCCATCGTAAATGGGGTCACCTCAAACATCAATATACACCTCATGAGTTTATCGAATATCATTTGAAATGAATATCGTGATCGACCACATGACGAGTATTAAATAAAAAAGGTTGTGAAAATCATATCTATTATCGGTGTAATGACGATTGATTCCATACAAAGAATGTTTAACTTTACAAATAATTAATTTCACGCCATTTATCCTGTTCACACAATACCTATTTCATGTAAAATATTAATCGCAATGAATTTATATGCATGTAAAAGGAGCATCATATTGTCGGTTACATACCGATTACAGCTCAATTATCGGTTACAAACAATATTTAATAATGTTTAATGATGATTAAAAATCATGGTGTCTTTTTTTTTTATTAAACCAATTCAACAATAATAATAACGATATTCATAATTAAAGGTGATTTTATTAACGATAACGATAATGATGACACTAACGATAGCAACAACATAATAATAATGGACTTAGACATAATACTAATATTAATATTTTTTATTTATTTATTTTTTGTAAAGCGCCAGTTCCAAACCAAATCAATGATCAAAGGCGCTGATCGTTATTACCTCTGATCAATGGATAACATACAACGGCAAACCAGCACAAAGTACAACCTTCTATGCTCACTGGGGGTATACCTAGTCGTAATAATATTACCAATATAATTTCACTTTTCACTATACTGACTATATACATGGTACTAATGCTCTACATAGAATAAATGCTGTTCTCAGGTATAATGAGTGGAGTTTATTACAAAAAAAATCAGTTAAAACAGGATTAAAATACATTGCCAATTAAAGGCAACATGTTTACAACTGGCAACATTTTTAATGTATAGTTTAAATTTGATTAATAATAATTTTTTTCTTTTTGTGAAGGTCCTTGAGTAGGAACCGAATAACTAAACTAAACCAAGGTGTATTCAGTGGTTTGACTAGTCTTCAAAAATTGTAAGTGACAATTTACAAGTTATGAATAATTCTATTATCATATCAATTATTTTTAATTAATGCATGATTGTTTATTATTGTGATAAATTGTAATAATAATAATAATATTATTTTCTCGAACATTGAATCATACAAAAAAAGGTGATGTTTTTAAAACGAAATCACAATTCAAATGCAAAATATATATATATATAAGATGTGTATAAGAGACAGATATTAAACTATTAATATATATATGAGAATCTACAATTTTTAAATAATTGTTTTGTATACAGCATCTAATACTCTAATAATTCGGTAATTATTTACATAATAAATCCGGTAGCATGCATGACATTAGCGTACCTTTTCATTAAAAATCATGGTGCTTTTTTTTAATTAAATCATCAATTCAACAATAAAAATAACGATATCGGTAAAGGTGTTTGAAATAACGATAGCAATAATGATGACACTAATATAGCAACAACGGCAACGATAGCAATAATGGACTTGGACATAACACTATTATTATTATTATTTTTTTTTTTTTATATATATAAAACTCAAGGTACATTGACTGTTAATACATGAACACCTGAGAATTGGGAAAATTCACATAAGAACAGGACTAGTCATTAATAGAATTTTTCTTTTGTGATTGTTATCCCCTATTCAAAATGCCACCCACCTTATTTTTCAATGGCCAATATTCTCCACAACCAACAGCGTACACTTTTGAAACAGTGGCTTAATATAGTTTTTGATGTAGGGCTAAATAAACAGAAAACACATGGATGGAACTTTAAAGAAAAAAGTACAGTCTTGTAGTCGTACTTCCACGCATGGGGAAAAAACCCCCCTTTAATGCCTACTCTGATTTTATTACATTGAAGTCGCATGTGCACAAGTCGTTTGCAGTAAATGTATTAGTTCATTCCCTGTTTCATGTATTCAGGGACGCAGGGAGGTTCACATCGGGGAGTGGGGTGCAAACATTGTAAATGCTGAACTACAAAGAATCAGTGGCGCAACGAGAGATGGAAGGCCCGAGCCATACGCGGGGGACCAGGCGCTGCGAAGGGCCTCGGTTGGGGTTGTGGGGGTGAATCCCCTAGCCGCTCCGGTGTTTGTAGCGTTTTGTGATGTCTTTTTTTGTACTATTGAGTTCTTAATTTTGTATCTTAATTTGACAATATAAGCGTAATATATTGTAATTAAGATCACTTTATTCGTCTGTAACTAAATTTCCTGTTACAAATTGTTTCATTTTCATTATATTATAAACAAATTAATAAATCAAGTTTAATACGTTCAATCAAAAAAAGAACAAACAAATGTTGGTATTCTTTTTCTAAATATTAATACTGTTGCATGTCTTATTGGTATTGAAAAAAAAAACACAGCATTGTGAAAGTAATTAAAAAAATAATGTCGGCGTCATTTGATGTATTTTTAAAATCGTAACATTTAAAACCCATTAATTACATTGGCCTGTTGTTTCAACTATACGTTACGACACTACTGTATGCTACGTTCTGTACTGTACAGAAGAATGCTGTTTGAAGATTTTTTTTGAATATATATGTATGTATACATATACACACATGTATGTATACATGTACACACTAGTATTTATACATGTACACACATGTATATATATATATACATATATATATACATATATATACATACATATATATATATACATATATATACATACATATACATATATATACATATATTATTATACATATATATGCATACATATACATATACATATCTATATATATATATATATATATATATATATATATATACACAT